TTCAAAATCCCAACAAATCCTAAATTTTTTAACTAATCCTCCAGTCTCAAAGAAGTTAAATAACTCATGATTTTGTATGACTTTTTAAAATCTCAAATAATACTTGGAGATAAACCAACGGGTACGTATTCGTTTGGGATTTTGAGTGACATTTTGAGAGCTTTTGAGATTTTTTAAAATTTTCAGATTTGGGATGAATATTTGAAATCTTAAGTATGGAGGTGAAATTTAAAGTGAGATTTCCTAGATCATTTTCCTTTTGAAATCTCAGCAAATCTTAAAACGTCTCAACTAATTCTCTATTCTCAAATTAGTTAAATAACTCATGGTTTTGTAAGACTTTTTAAAATCTAAAATGAGTACTTGTCGATAAACTAAATTCATGAAGATTTCTGAAGCCTTGAAGAATGAATAATTTGGCCCTTGAAGAGTGTCTTCTTGTAACAACATAAAGAGCATTGGTAGTTTTTCTTTTTTTCTGTTTTTTCCTTAACTATTCATGAAGTTTGTTCTCTAGTATTGGCTAATTAGTTGTCTTTTTTTATCCTTTTATTTGTGTTTCAGGAACTCGAAGGGCGACCCGTGCGTGTATACCTTGCGCTAGGAAGGAAATCATGAGAAAGCTGATCACAGAACTGGGTCATTTTTCTGCATAAGACTTGTTTGCAATCTGAGTCTGAAGAAAAATATGGGAAAAATGCATGAGGATTTGCTCATTCTACTAAATGCAAGTTTTGCGATTCGATCACGGCCAGATGTTTTACGGAATTAATTGCGGATATTGTTTCAGTATCGAATTTCTGGGTGAGGTTCTGGACGCTGGATAGTATAACATAAGCATGACCAACATTCAGTTCAAGTGCATGTTTTCCAAAGAGTGTCTAATCTTTTTTTAAGTGAAATGTTATTGTTGCCAATCTATGTGCAGGGTAATAATGATGAATTATATAAATTAAAACAATGTTAAAATATAAAATTTGAATAATAAAAATAATATTAAACTTTATATTTTCTTTTATTTTTAGGATATATAATAGTTTTATATATGATTAAATATTTATTTTACCTGTTGTGAAATGGTTTTCGTTTACATTTTCGAGATCTTATTTAAAATTAAGGAACATGAAAATTTCATATTCAAACATTATTATTAAATAATCCTCACAAAAGTACTTCTTTCTCAGTTTCTTTACTCATATATTATTATAATATATTATTTCGGTTAATATTTTGATTCTGGTAAAATTGAAAAAACTGATGGCAAATATTATAAATGACATTTAGTTTAAAAAGAATGTAGTGTATTTTAATGTTATAAAATTAATTTTGGACGATACTAAGTCGATGGTTTCCGACTGAGATGCACAATTATGGGCTGAGAGTGACCTAATTTTTATTTTAGTTTGTTCTTTGGATGAAATTGAATTTTGTATTGGTGCTCATGAAATAAGGAACTTGAATTATTTTTTATTGCGGATAGTTGTTTTTATGTTGTTTGCATGGTTTTAAATAGCGCGCTATAGCGGCTCAGATCAGCTAACGCGAAGCTATTGCTGTTTTTGTCGATATTCGCGCTATTCGCGCTATTTGGCGCTATAGCGGAGCGTCAAATAGCGCCACTATAACGCCAAATAGCGCGAATAGCACGAATAGCGCGAATAGCGGCAAAAACAGCCTGGCGCTACTATGTTATAGCGGCGCTATAGCGTTGAATAGCGGCCAGAAATGCTCGACGCTATTTTCCATAGCCCGTGATCAAAAACCATGATTGTTTGATAGTTGTTATGGTTTTTTTTATATATATTTTATTGTTATGGCACAAAAACTCTTAATTGTTGTTTTATTAAACCCAAATTCTCAATTTTAAGTTGATTTATCATCACGTGAAATAGTTTTGTAGTCATTGTGAAAATATTTTTTGAGATGTTAAATGACGAATGTAATAATTAGATTGCATATATATAAAATAGATAAAATATTATAAAAATAAAATTGACATCAAATTATTAAATACGATCTGATTTATTAATATTACAACAAGCAGTATTATTAGTTTAAAAATTTGAATTTTTTGCTGTTATATTTTTATGGGATGTTTTTTTCTAGACTAACTGGGAACTCAATCCCTTTATCTAAACCAGGTTTTCCTTCTCTCCCAAATTGGTACAAAAGCAGCAGCTATGGCCGCCGGCGGAAATGGCGTCGTCCACATCCTAATCGTCCCTTACCCCGCCCAAGGCCATATGCTCCCACTCCTCGACCTCGCCCACCACCTCGCCGCCCGCGGCCTCTCCATCACCCTCCTAGTCACCACCGGCAACCTCCCAATCCTCGCCCCAATCCTCGCCGCCCACCCCTCTTCCGTCCACACCCTAACCCTCCCCTTCCCCTCCCATCCCTCAATTCCCGCCGGCGTCGAGCACATCAAAGATCTCGGCAATCAAGGAAACCTCCCTATGATCGCCGCCCTCAGCGCCCTCCAGGACCCCATCGCCCGCTGGTTCGCCACCCACCCTAACCCCCCCGCCGCCATCCTCTCCGATTTCTTCCTCGGCTGGACCCACCACCTCGCCGCCCGCCTAGCCGTCCCCCGGATCGTGTTCTTCAGCTCCGGCGCTTTCGCGGTGGATCTCCTCAACCACCTCTGGGTGAACTCAGAGAGCGTCGAGACAGGGGCAGAATTGGAATTTCTCGATTTCCCTGGGTCTCCGAGCTTCCCCTGGGAACACATTCCTTCCGTGTTCCGGCGATACAAGGAATCCGGGCCTTCTGCTGCCGGTGCCAAATTCGACCTGCACAGAACCTCGATGATCGATAATTTCTCAGCCTGGGCCGCCGTCACCAACTCATTCCAGGCCCTGGAAGGCCCATTCCTGGCCCATATGAAAAGGGCGATGTCCAGCCCACGATTCTACACTGTAGGCCCGTTGAACATGGCATCCGGGCCGGGCCAAGACTCGCTCGACCCTCATAATCACTCAGTAATCTCATGGCTCGACGAGTGCAACATTGACGGGTCGGTGCTGTTCGTCTGTTTCGGGAGCCAGAAGGTGCTCAACAAGGCCCAAATGGAGGCGCTGGCCGACGGGCTCGACAGGAGCAGGGCCCGCTTCATCTGGGCCGCAAACGGGCCCATCCCAGACGGGTTTGACAGTCGGGTCTCGGGGCGAGGCCTCGTCTTGAGAGGGTGGGCCCCACAGAGGGCGATACTGGGCCACCGGGCGGTGGGCTGGTTTCTTAGCCACTGTGGGTGGAACTCTTTGCTGGAGGCAGTGGTAGCTGGGCCGGTGATACTGGGCTGGCCCATGGAGGCGGACCAGTTCGTGAACGCCAAGCTGTTGGTGGATTATGTGGGGGCTGCGTTTAGGGTTTGTGAGGGAGGGGACGCAGTGCCCAACCCAGATGAGCTGGCCCGAAAGATAGTCGAGTCGATGCGTGTGGGCTCGAAGGAAAAGGCTAGGGCTAAGGAGTTGAGGGATAGTGCATTAGAAGCAATTGGGATTGGAGGGAGTTCTAATAGGGATTTGGATGGGCTTGTGCAAGAGCTAGGTAAACTTAGGGTGGTAAAAAATGCTTGAAGTTGGTAATTTCAAGTTAAATGTAGTGTGTGTAATGAAATGAAACTTAAGAGTGTACTTTCATATACCAAACAAGGTTTGCTCTATGTAGTTATGTAATGAAATTTGAGTGTATATTTCATAATATAAGTAAATAAAAGTAAGGTTTTTAAATAAGTCTTTCATCTTAAACATTAGCTAGACTAACAAAATGTTAAGTTGGAGAAAAAGTTAAGTGTAATGTATGGTTTTGTAATTAAATAAGAATTACCAATGAGGAATGTTAGTTGCATTTACACCTTGTCATTTTCTCCAAAACTAAGAGCTGCTAGGCTAATACTAACCAATTCCTAATTGTGTAGTATCAATGTAAAATGAAAAATAAATAAATAAAAAATCAGAATCAATATAAATGAAATGCTCTATCTCGTGCTTCAGAAAATCCGAACAGTGACAGATATCTTACAGGCTTCGAGCAATATTACGAGCTTTACACGATCTTCAACCTGAATAAACATGGAAGAGATGAACAAACACGAGGAGAAATTATCGAAATTTGTTACCTAACACAACTAGTATCAAAAATGCATATTTTATCAGAAGAAACCTGTTTCAAGAGTTGAATCATCACTGTGCATATATTTTCTTTCGTAAAACTTTTATCGTTAGGAAGGTAATCAACTTGAAATGGGGGTCTTCCATATATCAGCTGGCATTATATACAAACTCTTTCATTTACTGGACAGCTTGAAGTGAAAGGCCCAGCTTCAAAGTCCAAATCAAGGGGTGGGAGGAGCAAAGAAAGCAATGCAAATTTCGTATAGCTTGAAACTCAGCATGATATAGAAAAACTGAACCAAACAATTTTTACCTGATATGGCACAAGTTTGTAATGCACAATGACGATAAATAGCCTGGCATCGATCTGGTCCCGAGGACTAAGTTGGGTCCCACCAGCAAAATAAGATATAACTGCTTTTGCAAGTTCTTTTTGTGCCGTCAACAGTATGAAACAAAATATATCCGGCAAACCTAGGATATGCCGTGCCACTGGTCCAAATACAACAATAATATTAATAATACCAATTTAAGGATATAAATTTAATTGATCAACAAACCAAAAATTCGAATTCCTACTAACCGTGCGGGTTTTGGAAGAAAATAAATGCACCCGATTAAGGTGTAAATACTCTTTCTTCGATGTGAATAGTGCCATTTCCAAGAATGCACAAGAGAAGACTTGGCATAATACTTCTCCTTGAAAAAATATTTCTGATGCCTTGTACGCCAGAGGACGTATTATGATTAGAAACACTCTGAAAACTCTTCTTGTACAATTCAGTCGGGATCAAAGCCACATTTGAACATGAAAGCACAAAACTGAGATTTACAACCGAATTTGCCAGCGCCCTCTAAAGAACTAATAATAATGGAACAAATTTGCTGGTCAGGAACAACTCCATCGATCAGCATCGTCCGGAAAAAATCCAGCGCATCCCTCAGGAAAGATCTTTTACACAGCCTATTGATGACAGCACTATAATCTTTCACCGAAAATTCAAACCCGTTTTCAACCATTTTACAGAAGAGCACCCTAACCTTTCGAACATCACCCTTTGCACAAATTGCTTTTAATAGAGTCATATATGCAACTTTCGAAAGTCCAACATTTTGTTCTTGGAGAGAAGAGAATATACTCTCGGCACCACTCAGGTCTCCATACACGCACAAACCATTGATGAGAATCTCGTACGTGGCCGAGCTCGGCTGTATATTGTGACCAACCATATGGTCCACTAATTTGCATGCTCGTCCAAGATCCCGAGCTCTGCAAAAGCGCTGTATAAGTATATTATAAGAAACTTGATCTGGGGAAAGGCCCTTTTTCAACGTAACCTCAAGGACCTCGAGAGCATGTTCCAGTCTGCCTTGCATGCACAACCCTTTCATGACCACTGTGTAAGTAACTCGATTCGGCTCCAGCCCATTTGCCTGCATTTCCTTGAGCAGCCTGAATGCAGCCTCTGGGTCCCCAGACTCACAAAACGCATTCATGAGTGTTGTGTAAGTAACAACTGACGGTGTCAAATTATGCATTTTAATGACTTCAAACCATTTACAGGCATCGGCAAGATTCCTGTTCCTGCACGACCCGTTAATTAGAGAATTGAAAGTGACTACAGTCGGGGCAAGCCCTTTCTGCAACAATTTCTTGTACAATTCAAGAGCCTGCTCCATATCCCCGAGTTTAATGTACCCATCGATCATGATATTGTACAAATGGACATCCTGCACCAAGTCACTTTCGGTCAGAATATTGAAATAGCTTCTTGCTTCGGAAATCGTTCTCTTCTTGCACAATCCTAGTAAATTAGCCCCGTGGAAGGTAGATTTCGGGATGATGCTCTTCAAACTCATTTCCTTGTAAAGCTGGATGGCTTTCTGTACCTCCCCCAGCTTGCAAAGACCATGGATTATCATAGAATACATAAAAAGATCCGGTTTCAGACCGACACCCTCGATCTCATACAGCAAATCCAGAGCTCTTCTAATCTGTCCGATTTTGCACAAGCTGCTGAACAGAACCCGGTACGATATACGGTCCAACTTAAGACCCTTGGACAGCATCTCGTCCCGAACCCTGAAACCCTCCTCAACATTACCTGTCATGCAGTGCCCACAAATCAGCAACGTGTAGGTCAAGTCATCAGTCGGGCCCAACTCGTCATGTAAAATCCTCTCTTTTATCTTCCACCTTTCGCCAACCATGCCAAGCAGGCGAAATCCCTTAGCGAGAATATTGTAGGTCACCTCATCGGGCTCAAGCCTGTGATTCTGCATGTCCTTGGCGAAATCCAGTGCTTCTTTCAGCGACCCAGTCACGCAAAGCCCATGAATCAGGATATTGTAACTGTACACATCGGGCTCCAACCCATACTTGTAAATCTTGACGAAAAAAGATTTTGCAATATCCACAAACCCCATCCGGCAGAATCCCGACATGAGGGTGTTGAACCAGATGACAGAAGGCTCAGCATCTTTTTCCTCAATCTCACGCAGGAATGCAATGGCCTCGTGGATCAGGGACTGCCGGCACAGGCCATCTAAGAAGATCGAGTACGTGTACTCAGTCGGGAGGGATCTGGTGGCCTCGATTTTGCCATAAACATCCCAAATGAGGTCCGTGTGCCTCAGGTTATGTAGCAAGCTGTTGTACGTCATGACTGAAGGCTGGATATCTAAGTCCTTCATCTCGGAGAGGACGGCAAGGGCATCTTGGACCATGCCGGTTTTGGAGTACACGAATGCCAGCATGTCCCATACCGTATGGCTACAAGCCCATCCCACGAAGCTCTCACGAAGGAGCGTGCAGAATGAAAGTGCCGAACCGGAGCCTGATAGAAATCATAAAAGATCTATAAAAAGGAAGAATTAGCAATCTTCAAGTAGTCCAGGAAATGATTCTAACATGTAATGTAAACTAGACCAACAAGTTAAAATTCATGTATCCCCAAAGGTTATCAAGTAAATTGATCAGGGTAAAAATTACCAAACGTCTCTGTATATGTAACAAGACGTTAAAAATCCAAATTGAAGCATAAATTACCAATTACGGCACATTTGAAAACAGAAAAGGCAGAGTTACCTTCTTCTTCGAGCACCCGCTGAAGATGGCACCGGAGTCCGCGTGAACGCTGCTTTCTGGCCAACAAATGGGCGACGACGAACTTCGCGTTCCGTGTGTGGCGGATGCCGAACACGTTCTGTAGAACAAAGAACAAACAGATTGCATTTTGCGGGTCGAGGTTCTCGATGATGGTGTCGATTTCATGAGGAGCTAATCTGCGGACCTCACTGCTGAACCAGGCCTCGCTTTGGAGGGATTTCAGTAAGAAACTCGAACTGCGGCAAGGGGTGGACGGGTTGTTGAAGTGAGCAATGATTTGCGAGACGGTGTCGTTCACCGGAAAATCTGCGGTGGCGGCGGCGCCAGTGGGGGAGAGAGCGCAGGGTTTAGTATGGAGGAGTCGAATGAACAGACGGCGTCGTATGGCGGTCGATCGGAACATTGAGCATCGTAAATGAAGTGGAGAGGGCTGAGGGTTTAGGGTTTAGGGTTTAAGACGGATAAAAATAGTACAGATTTGTTTTGAAGGGGCAACCTTACGGCATCGTTTTAAGTATTCTTCCACCTTCCTTTTCTTTTCGCCGTACATGCGATGCACGGAAGTATTTATGACTTGCGTGCTTAAAAGTTATTTTTGTATTCAAATTGTTTCATAAAATTAATTTTATATATTATTGAACACTTTCTTATGTTCAACATTCTTGGTTTGATTTTTTGACACATAAGTATTACATGTATGTTTGAATTTTATTTAAAATTATGTATTATTAATTATTAGTTAACAAATTACATTTAAAAAATTAAGGGATCTATTTATTAAACGAAATGCTAGTAGACAAAAAGTAGAAATGTTTAGGATTTTCACGCCTTTTCTTTTAATCTAATTCAAAATTTTGATTATGAAAAATGAAAAATAATCATTAATTTTTCCTAAAAAGGAAATCAATTTTCCTATCAATATACTAATTTTTTTACCAAACAAATTGATATGAATATTTGGTTAAAACAAAATGAAAAGAATCATCAATTTTTTTTCTAAAAATACAACCGAATTTTCTAACATTGCATAGATTTTTTTACCAAACAAATTGAAATAAAATTAATTCTAATAAGAAATGGGAATAACTTGTAAAAATTTATGCAATTGTCTTTTTTTTTTACAAAAATGATATGAACTTAACAAAAAGATGAAAAATAATATGAACTTACAAAAATCTCGGTAAAGCATAGTTAAGCAAAAGTTGCACATGATTTTTTCTTTTAAAAGTTGCACACGATTTTAAAATTATTGATTTTTATTTTTCTAAATAATTGGATAAAATTTTACTTTAAATATCAAAGATGAACCGGTTTACTTACCAAAAAATGTGGATGCGATTTTGAATGTATATCCTGTCAAAATCTCAATTTTTGTTTAAAAATAAAATTTGCACGTGGTTTTATCCAATTTGCACACATTTTTTGAAAGATAAAATCATTCAAAAAGGTTGGAAGAATTTGTTAAGAATTATACAATTATTTGTTTCCCAAATTTGTATTCAATTTACAAGTTATTTAAATTAATTTGTATTTGCAATTGTTTTCATAAATAATTAACACATTTTCGGCATAAGAATCTCCAAATTTGTTACCAATGAAAAAATGGGATTCAGATATTGGTAAAAAAAATGATACGAAAAAATAAGATTTAAATTTTGCCATAAGAACCTCCAAATTTGTTAACAAAAAAATTGGATTCAGATTTTGTTACTAAAGATTCACATATATTTTTTTATAATTTCCACTAATAGTAAGTCAAACATTATATTTTTGGTAAAACTTTCCACAAATAATTTTTCCATCAATCTCTTTTAATATACTAGTAATCACCCGTGCGATGCACGAGAAAATTATTATCTATGTGCTTTTCAGAAGGCAAAATTGTATATAAATTGTGTAATAACAAAATAATCATGATCATAAGAATATACATATAAACATATTAAGTAAACTGAAAAGATCATATATTGTTGAACACTTCCCTATATACACATTATTGGTTTGATTCTTTGGCACGTCATCTTCATCACAAAGTAAGATTTTCAACCCTTTTCGGTTAGTGACACGGGAGACAACAATATATAACTGGTCATGACTGACCACTGGTTTCTTAAGAAATAAGCCAACATGAGATAAGGATTGTCCCTGGCTCATGTTTATAGTCATGGCGTAAGAAATCATAATGGGAAACTGCCGTCGCTGGAACTTGAAAAGAATCTAACATCAGAAGGAGTTATGGCCATTCTTGGAATCAACATCGTATCACCAGCATGATCTCATGTGAGTATCTTACACTCAAGAACATGAGTGGATAGTTTTGTCACAACCAATCGTGTCCCATTACACATACCTATAGAATGATCCATGTTCCGCAACAACATGACTGGAGTTCCAAACTTTAAATACAACTCATGGTTCGGTATTTCGGAACACTTGATACTATTCAAAAACTCAGGCGTATGGAGATCAGACAAAAAATCGTTATTAGAATCCAATTTGCACGTACTATCAGAGCTCAAGTACATACGACCATCCAACAAATTCAATGATGTCATGTACTCATTGATAGACTCGACCACATCCAACGTCGGTGCTAATATAGCCCTATCCTTCAAATAACTTGGATCGTGCGCCTCCTTGTACATTGGATATGTGCTTTCTACGATTTGAACAATAGGATCATCAGATGGCTGAAGCAAATTGTCTTCGGGTATGTCTTCAATTGAAGTGGATTTTTCTCGACCACCATCCCAATGACATCTAAACATGTGTTAAATATGAGTAAAATTATTATTTATCATGAAAATGCTAAAAAAATAATTTAAATAAATGAAAATGCAATTACCAAATAGCATTGATTCGTCGATCTTCTCGGCATCAGTTAGTGTGATGAACCTTCGAAAGTCGAAACAGTAAATTGAAAAGTCACCCTTGTAGCTTATGTTTTCAGTTCTACCATGTAAGATAAGCCTGTATTATGCAATGGTGGATCTGTACATTCCAATGTTACTCTCGGCCTGATAGTTTCGAAATGCATAGACATCCCTTTCTTGGAATTCATTGATGAAAGTTAGGATGTTTACTGCTCTTATTATTCTTGTAATTCGACCGCCCTCCAAAAAAAAAAAAAAGATAATATTAAAAATTATTGTGTAATATGAGAAGAAAAAATTAATCATTAATTTGATTGTGAATTATACCTCAATGTCATGAAAGACAGTTTCAAAGATGTTCTTGTACGATGAGTATTCATTAGTATTTTAAAAAACCCGAACCACTCTTAACTTGAGCATTGGCCTGTTGGTCCTTGTTACTTGCTTGATGTTTCCTCATGCTTTTGCCATTTTTCTGCTTGTCTGATTGTACGTCCAAATGAGAGTGGGTTTTTTGTGATACGTGATGGACGTTCGGGTGTTCATTTTATAGACATGGGATAATAATTGATAACCATTGAAATATGAGTTTTAATAAATTCAAACTCTAGTGGGATGATAAGATAAATACAAATTAGTTGGATAATAAATTATTTTTTCCATAAATAAGTTTAAATATATCTCTCGTAACAGATTTCGGTTCCCATACTTTATCTAAATTAAGTTTTTTTATTTAATTTAACTAATTTTAGTCAACACGTGTTTTTTAAATGTTGTTTGATAATAATTAATAGCCATTAGATAATAATTGATAGCCATTAAAATAGGAGTTTGAATAATATGATGAGAAGATAAGTCCTAATCAGTTGGATATTTAAGCAGCGTAGATGTTTTTTCGTGTACAAAGAATTGTCGTATTTAACAAATTAATATATTAATTATTAATTTATTTATTGATCAAAGTTGTATAATAATGTATTTTTTAAGTGGCATGGAATTTAAGTTTTATTTTATGAGGTTTTTATGTTTGTTAGGTCCGATTAAAACATGTATTTGTATTGTAGTATTTTAATTGTTATTCATGTAATTGTATTGTATTATTTAAATTGTTATCTATCCAATGGCTTATTAATTTATTTACTGATTGAAGTTGTATAATAATGTATTTTTAATGAAATGGAATTTAAGTTTTATGTTATGAGGTTTTTATGTTTGTATGGATCCGATTAAAACATGTATTTGTATTGTAGTATTTAAATTGTTATTTATGTTATTGTATTGTATTATTTAAATTGTTATTTATCCATTGCTTAGGAAACCAAATTGGATGGAATTGTATAATGAGCACGTGATTACATTTCATAAGATTAAATCAAAATAAGATATTAATTAAAAAATAATGATCATAGTTATCTCTTTTAGGTGAGTTATCCACACATTCCTATAATCTCTCTACACCATAAATTTTGAATTCAAAATGTGATATTAAATTCGTGTCTTTTTATCTATCTACACCAAAAATTTTTGAATTCAAAATGTGATATTAAATTGGGGTTTTTTTATTTTTTTCAAGCTTTCTATAATTAGAATGTCAAAAGTATTATTTTTTTGGTCAAAAGTTTCTAAAAAGGATTTAACCAACAATCTTTTTATATATAGATAGATAACATTATAAGAGTAATATTTTTTATATATAATAATTATTATTTAATGCACATTAATAATATTTATTAATGTAATTAATTTAAAAATATATAAATAAATGTACAATATATATTGTGTCATATATGCACTCTTTTTAATTTTTAGAATTTGTCGTCCATCGTAATAATTAAAAAAAAATTATAATATATATATATATGGTTTTATGAATATATTAAATATATTAAGCATAAAAATAAATTAGTAATTAAACAGTATTATAGGTGGATTACAGATTAATATATAAATTAGTATAATGTTAATTAATATATATGATTTTATACAATTTTTCTTTTTTTTTTTGTAGCATATTGTATTGACCGAAAATATATGGAAAGGATATTGAAGCACATTGACCGAAATTATGTGGGAAGATATATTCAAGCACGTGAGTTATCTCTTCTAGGAGTTATCCAATTTCAATAAATTCTCATTATTCAAAATTTGAATTCAAATATGACTTTTAATCTACCGTTCTAGGAGTTATCCAATTCCAATAATCTCTCATTATTCCAAATTTGAATTCAAATATGACTTTTAATCGACGGTCCACATATTTTAATCTCAGTGTGTTATAAAAGCTTTCAAGAATTCTAAAAATAGAATGTCAAACTTATTATTTTTTGGTCAAAAATTTCTAAAAAAGTTTATTCCAACAACCTTTTTATATATAGATAGATATAGATATAGATGTTGTAACTTGTGGCCATTAGGCAGATTTATATTTATTATTTTTTATTAAATATACATATTTTCATATAGGATTTTATAAAAACAAATACAAATAGATTAGGATATTTTTTATATAAATATATAATTACTTCAAAAAATATGAAGGGTAAATAGTTAGAATGTTTCACACAAAAAAATGTGTAATAATTAAATAGAAAGTAATAATTAATCCTATTTAATAAATAAACATAATAACTAAATAAAAAAATACAACTTACTATGCTTTCTTATTATTTGATTTCTTCATCCACAAGGATATTATATTACCTGGTAGAAAAGATTAAAAAATCATCATAATCCTCCTAAAGTCTTTCACTTTTGTCTCACTTGCTAACATTAGATTACGTAGTAGAAAAGATTGAAAATTCATCATAAATCTCCTTTTGATTTCTTTTGTATTTCTTATTCTAAGACTATGTTTTTTTTTTTATTATTTGATTTCTTGATGCTTTCATAAAATAGGTGATGCTTTCAAAGTTAATATTGCTTGCTGAGGAGTAAATAAACCCTAACACATTTGTTTTCCAATTTCTGGAAAAGGAAAAGAGAATTATGATTAAGTTTTAAGTTGGTAAAGTGTTTTAATCAATAAATTATTGGAAATTAGTGGTGAAACTTCAATAACATTAAGTACATATCATGGATTAATATGTTGAAGAATTTAGACAGTAACAGTTCAACATATTTTTGAATGGTAAAAGTATTTCTTTGTTTATATATTTCACTTTATATTGTGACCATTAGGTGTAAATGAACACAAGTTTAATTTTTAGACTCGTGTTCGTTTTATTAGTAAATGAACACAAGTTTAATTTTTTAAGTTCGACTCGGTTAACAAACAATCAAAACTCTACATATCACTATAATTATTCGGTTTAGACCATCTTTAATCGAAAAACTCATACTTAAATAATTGGTTTATGATGTTTGAATTTGACTGATTAGGAAAACACACACAAGACTAATTATCAATTAATTTTCTGATTTCTATATTTTATTATTGGAAATTAGTTGTATATGTATATTAATATACTTAAAACACAAAAACAGCCAATAATTAATTTTTTATGTTTTTCTCCCCTACATAACTCAGAAGCTGATTTTTTATTTTTCTCACATGAAATGAATCTTTTGTTCTTTCAAATTGCATTCAAATTCAGGTGTCATTTTCTGCTACTATTTGACAGTTTCAAAACACCATATATTTTTATCAATTTTGCTTGAGATAAAGTACCAGATTTATTTTTTAAAAAAAAAAAAGAAAAAAAAAAGTGTTCAGAAATCCACATTATTCCTACCAAACTTATCTGAGACACACTTTGATACAATTTTAATTTTTTTTATTACTAATTATTTAATTTTCATTCATCAAAATCTGGCTTATAAAACTCTTGCAACTTCACATATTGTCCTGTTCTAAGTATACTACATTAACTCATTAAATTTGAGATTTTTTAGGGATGTCCAAGCAGATATATGTCAAAAAACAGGACCAAGATAGGTTCAAAATCAATTCCAATGAAAAAGAGATGTCAAATGCTAATAAAAACAACTTATTTACCAAAAATCTGAAAGAAAATAATCCAATTAGGCTGCAAAGAACTTGCTCAGCTTCTTCATTATCTTCTCTGTCCTTAATCAAGCGGTGCAGTTGGATAACGAACAATAGCGGTAAGATTACAAGAAAAAAAAAAAAAAAAAAGAGTTAAAAACTATAGCAATATAATACAGCATTGCATTATTGTTCCCTTCTCAAAAGATTGAGTTAATCAAGATTTTGTTCAATTTGCAGATAAAGTTTACGTACAATTTCACGACGAGTGCTGGGGCGTTCCGGTTTATGACGACAAGTAAGTTCATTAATTTTCTTGTAATCCATAAATATGTTTTATATATCCCTATAAATTGTAATTATGGTGTCTGTGTGTGTGTTTGTAATCGACAAATTATGTGAAAAAAAAAGTCGATTGTTCGAGGTGCTTGCAATGTGTGGAATGCTTATGGATTTCAACTGGACTGAGATCTTGAAAAGGAGAGAACTTCTAAGGTTAGTGCAAGCTTTGCCTAGCTACTTTACCATATTTTTTTTCTCTCAAAAAGCTTCAAACTTTTTTAAATGATGTGCATATAGAGAAGCTTTTGGAGGTTTTGATCCTAAATTTGTGAGCAAAATGAGTGAGAAAGTGATTATTGAGACAGCCTCAAACAAGGAACTAAAATTAGATGAAAGCAGAGTGAGGTGCATAGTGGGCAATGCAAAATGCATAAGAAAGGTAACTATTTATTTATTTATT